AAATCCGTAAGCTGAGATTCCACCGAATCAATCATAGATTGACTTAAAGGAGCCATCTCGCTCAGGCCAGATGAAGTATTGTTTAGTCTGCGCATGCTCACCTCTTTAACATCAGTGTTTGGAGGAGAAACCATCCGGACAGTATTGTCAAAGTTCATATCTTTAAAAAGTGATTCGTACCTAGCAACTCTACCCAAAAGATACGACCGGGCACAAACATTTTATAACCTTGACTGTATATGCTTTTAATGCATGCTTCAATATTATTGAGCTCTACATATAGCTCCGAGCGATTTGGGAGACTACTATTACGCAATCTATTAATGGAGCCTAATGCACACCCTAAAAACATCGTAGGTGTGAAAGAGGCCTCATTCAGCCGTGCTATTATATCGTCAACTGACTCCATTTTAGTAAATGTATGTATATATAATACTAATCAACGCAATGTAATGTCAGTAATGTGAAAAATGTTTTAATTGATAATCTGCAAAAATTCCATTAATGTTACTAACACAACAACCAGGATCAATGCAGTAATTCAACTCATTTATCAAATATTATTAATTAATAGCGTGTAACACAAACAGCAATCTTCCAGACCTCAAAGTTACTTGAGGAGGAGATGCCGCAATATCTGTAGAGATGTTTCTCGACGCTTATAGTATCATAAATCGCTTACGTTCACCTATTGATTAAAACAGAACGCAAGCAATAACAACATCAGTCACTCAATATACGCTACCAATACTCTTCTATGTCATTAGTCCAATTATGCATAAAATACACACAAAGTACAAAGTATATATTTGATTTAGTAAATTTTACCAAATTGTTCAATAGTCAATGTCTTTTTGTTTAAATAACACCTTATTATTTAATAAATAAGAGAGAAACTTAAAATTGTCCAATTTATCAAGTCTCCCCTATATCTAGTAACTTTAGTAACGCGAAGAGGCATATCAAGTTTCACATCTATATCATAATCACTCAATATACGCTACCAATACTGTCATACATCAATAGTCCAGTTATATATAAAAGTACAAACAAAATACAAGATATATATTTAATTTAATAAATTTTACCAAATTATTCAATAAACAGTGTCTTTTTGTTTAAATAGCACCCCATTATTGAGCGATTAAGAGAGAAACTTAAAACTGTCCAACTATGAGGTCTCCTCTATATCTAGTAATTTTAACGCGAAGAGGCACATCGAGTTTCATATCTATATTATAATACAATCACTCAATATACGCTGCCAATACTTTCATATATCAATAGTCCAGTTATATATAAAAGTACACACAAAGTACAAAATATATATTTAATTTAGTAAAGTTTACCAAATTGTTCAATAAACAATGTCTTTTTGTTTAAATAACACCTTATTATTCAATAAATAAGAGAGAAATTCGAATCTGTCCAATTTTCAAGTTTCCCCTATATCTAGTAACTTTTATAACGCGAAGAGGCACATCGAGTTTCACATCTATATCACAGTTCATGATTGTTTGGAACTTTGGCAACCGAGTACAGCCATTCACTCAGAGATGGCGCGTCGATGTCCCTTTGCATCTTAAACTCAATTTCCCGAGAGAAAACATTCTCCGAGAGAGACATAACCCCAATTGTTACAATATGTCATTTTGACAACACAAGCAGTCAGATATGTATGTATCACAATTCAAGGTTTATAAATTACGTCAAACAGTCTAAAGCAGGTATATAATAATAAAAATATTAATAAATCATATTTAATTGAATAGATATTTAATATCTATAAATATTGTTATCAGAAGAGAATCATGTAACAATAATCATTTATATATGTTTATCATATGCATTTCCTAGGATTCAGATGCATATTTAGGATGCAATGACAAGGGAAGCATCCCATCCATATGCCATAAGGACAGCTCATATAACCTCAAAGAGGACATCACTCACCGCCGCAATACTAATGTCAAAAGTCTGTTATTACAGGAAAGATTATAAATTTTTGTATATTCAAGATGTATGCACAGAATGATATAAATTCTAATTAGAAGGTATTAACTTTGCATCAGGTAATTATTATAATTGACATCATGCTAAAAACAACTTTTAGCTTCCAATATCATATAGTTACGTAGTTTAGTATATGTAATTACTATTATTGATAGAGAGTCATTTATTATTTAATTATTTATTTAATTATATGTTTACCATGCACGCACCAAGAGTCAAAAGCATGGAATATCACTGGTTAGCTTGACAAGAGAAAAAGTCACAAGATTAATAGCACTGAGATATAAAACGTAATTACAGAAAATATTACTCAAGAGTTAATGTGTATTTAATAATTGTTATAATTATCAATTTGTCTTTTACTATATGTATTAAACGTATTACCCCGAAAAAAGCTTTATTAAGACTATTATTAACGTTAAACTAAATATTAAAGTTTATAATATCTAAAGATATAGCTTATAGTCATTGTACAATTAAAGGCAACTTCTGTGTATCTCAGCACATATTTCTTTTTGTTCACTACACATATAACTAATTATTCCACTTATCTTAGGTGATGACAGCATCCTCCCCCCTGGCTGTCACACGGTGTGTTACGCGGATGACACACTGGTGATGGTCGGGGGGACCTCGTGGGAAGACGCGACCGCTCGGACGAACATAGCGATCAACCGCGTCGTGCGCTACGTAAGGAGGATGGGACTCAAAGTGGCGCCCCAGAAAACCGAGGCCATCTTTTTGCATGATGGCTCTCACGGGGCGCCGCCGAAAGTCCACATCACAGTGGAGGACACCCCAATAGAGGTGGGGGCCTGCATGAAATATCTGAGCCTCCACCTTGACAATAAGTGGACCTTCCAAGAACACTTCCGCCGCATATCCCCCAAAGTGAAGAGGGCAGCAATGGCACTACAACGCCTGCTGCCCAATCTCGGGGGACCTGGCGGAAGTGTAAGGAAGTTGTACGCCGGGACTGTACACGCCATGCTGCTGTACGGGGCCCCAGTATGGTCGAAATGCCTGGGGGCTGCCCGCGGTCCCAGAGATGCACTGAGACAGGTGCAGAAGCGGGTAGCCAACAGGATATGCAGGGGCTACCGTACGGTCAGCTGGGCGGCGACGGGGGTGCTCTCCGGAGTGCCCCCCGTTGAGATGCTCGCCCGCATGTATGCTGAGGTGTACACGCGCACGCGTGGATACCAGCGGGCGGGCATCACTATGACGGAAAGTCTCCGGCGTACTGTGAGGGTCCACTCCCGACGGGCGCTGATCCAAAGTTGGAAGGAATTCCTGGCGGACCCAACACTGCCAGGACAGCGCACCGTCGGGGCTATACGGCCCTGTCTAGAAAACTGGCTAGACAGGGCCAAAGGTGGGGTGTCCTACCACATGACGCAGGTGCTCACCGGACATGGGTGTTTCGGTGAGTACCTGCACAGGATTGGTAAAGAGCGCACGACGCGGTGCCATCACTGCGGCCACGAGCGCGACACCGCCCAGCATACACTCGCTGAGTGTGTTGCCTGGGCGGGAGAGAGAGAGAGGCTCGTGGCCGCGGTGGGGAGGGATCTGTCATTGCCCTCGGTAGTGAGGGCAATGACAGACAATGAGGACGCATGGAGGACGTTCTCCTCCTTCTGCGGCGAAGTCATGCTGCAGAAGGAGGAGGCGGAGAGGGAGAGAGAGAGAATGGGGGAGGAGAGAGAGGAGGAGGGCGGGGACGTCCCCCCTCTTTCCCCGGCATCGGCGGGTCCGCTTGTTTGTGGCGCCGGGGATCGGAGAGGGGGCGCCCCTGGTGGGCGTGGAAGAAAGGGAGGAAGAAGAAGAAGAAACCAAACAGACGGGGGGTGTGCCTCCTTCCCCTCCTCCGCCGTCGGCGGGTCCGCCCGCCGGGGATGGTGGGGACCGGGGGGGGGTACGACCTCCAAAGGAGGAACGCACCCATGGGAGGAGGGGCCGGGCCCTCTCTTTCCGCGCCGCCGATGGGCTTGCCCGTTTGTAACGGCGTGGATCGGGGGGGGGGGGGTCCGTCTCAAACATACCCGCGTCAATAATTGACGCGGAATGAGGGTTCCGGGGGGGGGGGACAACTAAGTCCCAAGGGCCCTCCCCCCCGGGAGCCTCACGCGGGCCGGGCGCGTGGGTGCGTCACTCCACTATGGGGGGGCGCTCTATGTGCCCGGCTAGGGCAAACCCCTCCGGCCACGGCCGATCCCTGGCTCTTAAAGGAGCGGGGGGGGGGGACGCGGCTGGGGGGGCCGGGGGGGGCCACGCGTCCCCGACGGGCAGGCGCTGTCTGTCAGGCCGAGGCGCCTGGGTCCCCCTTTGTGAAGACGTGATGCGCGGGGCCCTCCCGCCGGGAGCCAGGAGGCACCGGCGGGAGGGCAACGCCGTCCACGGAAGGGGGTTCCTCTCCTTCAGAGAGGAGCCCTCTGGTGAGGGCTCCCCTGGTGGAACGCCGAACCGGGTCACCCTCTAGGGAGTCCGGGGGTCGCGACCACCGGGGAGGCGGGGGGCGATGGCTCGAGTGGAAGTTCTCGAGCCATGGCTCCGCCCCCCAAACTCTTTGGGAGGGCGCGGTGTGGGGTCGGTGTCGCCCTGCGCCGCAACCGGGACGGAACCGCGCAGTCATTGACTGCGCGGTCGGGGAGGGGTCTTGGCCGCAAGGCTAAGGCAGCTCTCCGGAGATGGCTTGGCGGGGGAGCGGCGGGACGGCATGGGATTTCAGCATCCTCGCCGTCCTCTATCCAACGCCCGAGATGGACACCCGCTGGGGTTTTAGTGAGGTAGGTCTTGGGCCCCCTGGTCGAACCATTCGTGGCTCGACCAAGGGGAACAAGGAGTCCCACATAACCCACACCCCTACCCGGGGGTGTGTGGTAGCATGACCGTTTCCCCAGCGTCACAAAAAAAAAGGTGATGACAGCATCCGGATGGAAGTGTCCCACAAAGAATTCTCAGGAGTCTCTAAAGAATCTCAGGAACATGATACAGTCAGTAGGAAGCCAATTGCCAACGCAGGTCTAGAAACATCCGCAGAGCATTTCTCCAACTTAAGGCGATGTATGCACATTCATCAAAGCACCAAAATTTACACATTTATAATTGTGAGTTTATTTGATTTGGCGTTAATTAACTATTTGTATCTTGAGTAACACACTATTATAAAGTTACCTAATTTAAATGATATATTAAATTAACTTTATCTTAGTCTCAAATAGTTTCAAATTTCAATATTATCATATTATTAAGATCAATCATTAGTGTTTGAAAGAATTGAAATAAATGTAATTGTCACAATAATTTAGATAGTAGATCACTTTAATTTTGACAAAATAATAATAATCAATTATTAGATTATTCAAGATTGTCATATAAGTATGTTTATAACTTAGTATAAGTACTAAGTACTAAAATGTTTTAGATAACGTCAATATATATTTATCCATTGTTTATAATGGACAAATCATCATCATCTCATCACGATGCTACACAGTAAGGTCATAACTGACCCTAAATGACAAAAAACGTCTGAAATATGCAAGGATGAAATCAATCAACACATACGTTCCATATATGTATATGTGTGTAAGTATAAAATCTTTATACCTAAGTTCACTATTTTATCACCAAAAACTGAAAGTCACATGTAATTGTCTAGCTTAGAGATAAGGTACTAAATATTTGAATTTCCTGCTAATTACAGAATTACTGAAGATCATCTTATCAAGACTAATCAGCAAATTATAGTGTACAAAAGGATCAGATTAGTATATCACAATATAATTAGTTAATATTTCACTACAATTCTGACACAATAATCTTTTAATATTTGAGTATTCAACTATTATCATATAAGTCTATGAAAAGTCTGTCCATGATATAACACAAGTACTAAATACTAGATAATAAGTATTTAAATTATGTCCATATATATTCAATGCTCATTTAAGACCTAATAAGCAAATTCATTGTCCCCTCCAAGTCCTGCACAAAAAGACTATCAAACTGACCTTTAATGCAAGAGTCTAGTATCTAATTAATAATCCATAAGATTACTATTGTCTTTACAATATGAAAATGTATTTCACCATCACAGGCTATATTAACCTGTTATAACGATATCTAAATATTAAAGTTTATTAACAATATTCAAATATTGAAATTTACGATATCTAAAACAAGGATCTTTTAGTCATTTACAACTTGTATAGTGAAATAACTTTGCATATCTCAGCACATATTTCTACTTATTCACTACACACAATAACAATTGTTTCACTTATCTAGGTGATGACAACAACCAGATGGTAAATCGCCAGAAGTCTAATAAATCTCAGGAGCATTATACAAGCCATGAGTGATCATGATTTCCAAGAGGTCCATATCCACAACGTATTTCACCGACTTAAGATAATATATGCATATATATCAAAACACCAGTATGCACATATTAATTATTTTCATAACTGTAAGTCTACTGCATTAGCGTTCATTATTTATGTCTTGGATTATTATTAATAGAATAATACAATACAATGATTATTTCTTGTAACACATCACAGTGCAAATGTAAAAGTGGAAGAAAGACACCATTATTATACTACTATTTCACATCTTATTGATTATCATTAATTAATTAACTAAAAGTCTAATCAATTTAAGTCACATACTAATCAGATATGTATATTTCAGTAAGTCTTTAATTTAGATGTTAAAAGAAAGTCACAGCTTTTTAGCCAGTACACTTATACATTCAAAGTAGTCTTTGTATCCAAAATTAGTTCATTAAATATTTAATAATAGTAATAGAATAATACAATGATTATTCATTATATCACAACACAGTATAGATGTAAAATAGAAAAAGTCACAACCATCTTACTATTATTACACAGTTTATTGTTTATCGTTACCTAATTAACTAAAGTCTATATAATTTGTAACGAAGCACCTTTCCCGACGCCACGGATCGGCTCGTCGGTGCCAGGATTCGGGAAGAGGGGAGACTCAGATTTACAATGACACACGGTTGCTCTGGTAAAAGTAGAGTTTATTCGGGGCCACCTTCCTGTGGTTCTCCCGTGATTCAGACCATTATACACAGCACAGTATAATCGGACGAGACGCGACCAGATGATACAGACGCGTACACGACTTATTGCTAGGATTGACAGATAGAAATATTACGGACGAGACGCGACCAGATTATACGGACGCGGACACGACTTATTGCTAGGATTGACGGATAGAAATATTACGGACGAGACGCGACCAGATTATACGGACGCGGACACGACTTATTGCTAGGATTGACGGATAGAAATATTACGGACGAGACGCGACCAGATTATACGGACGCGGACACGACTTATTGCTAGAGTTTCCAACGCGGACACGCGTACGGGCGCCCTGAGAAGGGCGAGCTCCGTCGGGCGCCGGTGACTTTCAGGTAGGACCCGGTGACCGAGGACGCTCGGCCTGCACGACGAGAACGCTCGTCGGCCGGGGTGATTTACGGACAGGACCCGGTGACCGAGGACGCTCGGCCTGCACGACGAGAACGCTCGTCGGCCGGGGTGATTTACGGACAGGACCCGGTGACCGAGAACGCTCGGCCTGCACGACGAGAACGCTCGTCGGCCGGGGTGATTTACGGACAGGACCCGGTGACCGAGAACGCTCGGCCTGCACGACGAGAACGCTCGTCGGCCGGGGTGATTTACGGACAGGACCCGGTGACCGAGGACGCTCGGCCTGCACGACGAGAACGCTCGTCGGCCGGGGTGAGTTACGGACAGGACCCGGTGACCGAGAACGCTCGGCCTGCACGACGAGAACGCTCGTCGGCCGGGGTGAGTTACGGACAGGACCCGGTGACCGAGAACGCTCGGCCTGCACGACGAGAACGCTCGTCGGCCGGGGTGATTTACGGACAGGACCCGGTGACCGAGGACGCTCGGCCTGCACGACGAGAACGCTCGTCGGCCGGGGTGAGTTACGGACAGGACCCGGTGACCGAGAACGCTCGGCCTGCACGACGAGAACGCTCGTCGGCCGGGGTGAGTTACGGACAGGACCCGGTGACCGAGAACGCTCGGCCTGCACAACGAGAACGCTCGTCGGCCGGGGTGATTTACGGACAGGACCCGGTGACCGAGGACGCTCGGCCTGCACGACGAGAACGCTCGTCGGCCGGGGTGAGTTACGGACAGGACCCGGTGACCGAGAACGCTCGGCCTGCACGACGAGAACGCTCGTCGGCCGGGGTGAGTTGGAGTGTGGGAGTTGAGGAGTGATCCCTGAGTACGCTCGAGGGACCAGGACGGGACTGGTGTCGAAGTCTCGGCTGCGCCGCTCTTTATACCCGTCGGCCACCCCACTCTAAGACTAGCTTGGAGGGGGTCGAGTGACGGGTGGGGGCGAAAAGGCGGATTCCCAACGTATTCGTGTGGTGGCCCCGAAAGGGGCCGTTTACACGAGCGCGGGCGACTAGTGACGGCTAATCGGGTCGTCACATCACCCTCCTTTTCTAGGGGGGGGTGGCTATTCGACGGATCGTTCGCGGTCTTCCTCGTCGGTCGAATCTGATGATCCACCGGCCCGTCGGGGTGCGTACCTTATACCGCCGTGAGATGGTGGCGGCGTGGTACGGTATGTCGACGGTTTGGCCATCCCCCAGAGTGACCTGGATGGGTCGTGGCGGTCCCGGGCGTGGTGCTGGCACTGGTGGGGCCTGGCCGGTTGGAGGTCGGCGTGGTGCCGGTTGGGGTGGCTCCCTGGCTGGTGGCGCGACAAGGGATCGCACCTGTTGGCCTGTGTTGGCGCGATGCGCTGGCTGGTCCGCTTCGTCAGGCGTCGCTGACTGGCGCGTGGTGGCTGGCGGTGCGACAGCGGATGGCGTGTGTCGGCGGGTGCCGGTTGAGGGAACCGATCGGTTCGCGGATGGTCGAGCGGGCTGGCGTGCGCTGGCCGGTGTCGTCGTGGGCCTGGTGACGCCGGCGACGGTGGAGGCCGGGGAGTCGGAGAGGACCGGTGGTCGTCGATGCCGGGTGTTCACCGGGATAGGTCGGCGTCTGCCCGGGGGAGGCGGAGGTGCCTCCAAGAGCACCAAGTCCCGACGTCGCTGCTCGGCGTCGGACCGCTGGATGCGGGTCCCTATTCCCGGTACTGGCCGGGTGGTTCGCCCGGAAACGGGCAGATTTCGTCCGGAAACGGACGGATTTTCTTTTGAGCGCTGGTTTGCTTCTTCGTTTGGTGTTTCCATCGTGACGGGATGAGTTCCGACCCAAGGGTGCCCGTTCTTTATACCCCTCGGTGATCTGGACGCGGACCATGAAGAGTGCCGCTCCCGGTGCGGGACCGGGTGGAAAAGCGCGGACCATGAAGAGTGCCGCTCTCGGTTCGGGACCGGGTGGCAAAGCGCGGACCATGAAGAATGTCGTTCCCGGTATTCGGCCAAAGATTTTCGACAAGACGCGGACCATGAAGAGTGCCGCTCCACGTATTTTGATTCGAAACCGCGAACATGCCTAACGGTTGACCGGCGGCGTTAATCGGCGCGCGTTGCTCGGGTATCGGACTAGGGTTCGGTCGCAGGACGCGGTTCGGAGGCGGATTTCAAGTCCCTCACGTGGACGTGCCGATGCCATCGACCTCGGTCGTCCTTCAGGTCCACGATGACGGGGGAGATGATGCGTCTGATCGTCAACGGGCCACCAAATCTTGGTGCTAGTTTGGCATTAAAGCCGCGCTCTTTGTTCGATAACGGGTGCTCCTTTTTCCATACTCGGTCTCCAACTTGTGGACGCCAGTCGCGTCGACGTAAATCGTAGTTTCGCTGTTGATGTTGGAAGGCGCGGGCCAGGTTGATTCTGACAATTTCGTAGGCGTCTTCGAGTCGACGTCGAACTGTTTCAGGAGCGTTGCTGGTCGTTGCCGGGCGGCGGTCGTCGGGATGCGGTGATTGTAACTCCCGGCCGTACATCAGAAAGGCCGGGGTGTATCCCGTGGATTCTTGTCGTGCGGTATTGAAAGCGAACTGGAGCTGGGGAATGTGTTCATCCCAACGGCGATGTCGGCCTTCCACATATTGCGCCACCATGGTCTTTATGGTGCGGTTGGCTCGCTCGACCGGGTTGCACTGCGGTGCGTAGGCGGGGGCGGTTCTATGCTTGATCCCGAAGGATCGTAGTAATCCCTCGAGCTGGTGCGATCTCAACTGAGTCCCGTTATCAGAGACGATGGTGTCCGGGCAGCCGTGACGATATATAATACGTCCAGCTACTTCTCGTGTGACGTTGGCGGCGGTGGCTTGGCGGAGCGGCGTCATCTCTATCCATTTGGAGAATCGATCCTGCATGGTCAGCAGCCAGGTATGGCCACTGGTCGATCGTGGCAATGGTCCGACCAGATCAATGGAGACCTGTTGCCACGGGTGCGTGACGTTGGTGGCTCGAAGTTTCCCGGCCGGCAAGGTTTGTGCGGCCTTGTGGGTGGCGCAGTTTCGGCAGTCACGGACGTATCGAGTGACGTCGCGGAACATTCCTGGCCAATAATATAAGCGCGCTACTCGTGCGATGGTCTTCGCAATGCCAAAGTGTCCGGCGGTCGGGTCGTCATGCAGTCGGTGCAGTATTTCCGCGCGCTGGGGTTTCGGGACGCACTGTTTCCATTGCTCCTCGCTTGGCGAGTCGTGGAAGTTGAGATCATGCAGGATGTGTCGATGCAACTGTCGGTTCTGGATGCGGTAGTCCGCATGTTCGGCCGGGTGTTGTTGTACCTGGTGATAAAGGCGGCGGTACCATTGACAGTCTGGAGCGGCTTGTATGACACAGGCCTCGGGTTGACGAGAGAGAGCGTCGGCCACGATGTTCAGTTTTCCTTTACGATACCGGATGTCATAGTCGTACTGCTGAAGCTCGAATACCCATCTCCCTAGGCGACCGGTGGGAGCTTCCAGTCTCTGCAGCCATCGAAGCGACTGGTGATCGGTGACAACCGTGAAGTGATAACCCTCCAGATAGTCGCGCATTCGACGGATTCCCCACACTACCGCCAGACATTCTAGCTCTGTAGCGCTGTAGTTCCTTTCTGCGCTATTTAGTGTACGGCTGGCGTAGGCAATGACGCGTTCGCCTTCGGATAGTTCTTGGGTGAGCACGGCACCTAGCCCACACGTGCTGGCGTCGGTCTGGAGGGTGAATGGTCGGCTGAAATCGGGACAAGCAAGAACTGGTGCGGTGGTGAGCGCCCGCTTCAGCTCGTCGAAAGCCTTTTCTTCTTCTGGTCCCCACGCAAAACGTGCTCTTTTTTGGGTCAAGCGTGTCAACGGTGCGGCGGTGGTGGAGAAGTCTGGTACAAAACGGCGGTACCAGGAGGCGACGCCGAGGAATTGGCGCACTTGACGTACGGTTGTCGGGGTCGTCCACGCGGCTACCGCGCTGACCTTGTCTGGGTCAGTTCGAATGCCGTCTTTGTCCACTATATGCCCCAAATATTTGAGACGGCTGCAACAGAAGTGGCACTTCTGTGGGTTAAGGCGGAGGCGCGCTTGTCTCAACCGTCTGAAGACCTCGGCCAAATGTTCCATATGGGTCTCCAGTGACGAGCTGACTACGATGATGTCGTCGAGGTAGACCAATACGTGTGGCTCGAGTTCCGGGCCGAGGACACTATCCAGCAACCGCTGGAACGTGGCCGGTGCCGAATGTAACCCAAAAGGCATGACTTTAAATTGGTAGAGTCCTCGCCCAGGAATTGTAAAGGCGGTGGCTGGACGGCTGACCGGATCTAGTGGCACCTGCCAATATCCGTCCTTTAAGTCTAGTGTTGAAAGGTACTGGGCCCCTCGGAGCTTATCGAGGGTAGCGAGGATGTGCGGCAGTGGGTAGGCATCTTTGTCGGAGGCTTGATTCAACTTGCGGAAATCGATACAAAATCGGTGTCCTCCATCCTTCTTCTTGACGAGGACTACGGGGGAACTCCAGGCGCTGTTGGACGGTTCGATCACTCCGGCTTCCAACATTTTATTCACCTCGCTATCAATGACGGCCTGCATGGCCGGATTACGGGGTCGGTATCTCTGCTTTATTGGGGCTCCAGGCCGCAATCTGATCTGGTGTTTGGTGCGATCGGTGGGCCCCTGCACGGACTCAAATAACCGGAGTTCGGTATCCAAGAACTGCCGGAAACGCTGGTCTTCCTCTGGTGAGCGTGGGGAGATTCCGGCGGACAGTTTGCCGTAGACAGACGCCACCTGGGCCGGAGCCGTCCTCCCTGGTCGGTTGGATGGGGGAGGCGGCAGCGTAATGCGTAACCGAGCCCATAGGTCGACTCCGATTAGTACCTCGCTGCTGAGGTTATCCAGGACCTGGAAGCGGTGGCGGACAGAGCGAGGGCCGACTCGGATGGCGAAGCGGATCGAACCGGAGGTGGGTGCCTTGGAGCCGTCGGCTAAGTTGACCGGTTCTTCGGACGGCTGGATCTGGAGGCCGCGATCAGACAAGCGTTTGGCCATGGCGGCGTTCACAAACGACACTTCGGATCCGGAATCGAGAAGTGCCCAGGTGTTGAATCGGTGAATCTGGACTGGTAAATGCGGCCGCGGTGTGTACTCTATCTGGACGCGGGTCGGACGATGGCCGCCTCGTTTCCGACCCGCCGGTCGTTTTCCGTCGGAGGGTGGCAGTCTCGCGTTAGGACGCCATCCTTCCCGCACTGCGAGCAGAACTTCCGTGCTGGGCGGCGACAGTCGAGTCGTGTGTGCCCTCGCTGTTTGCATCGCCAACAGCAACTCGCACGGTCATAGGTAGTGGCGGCAAGATTCGCCTCGGTGGACCGTAATGTTTCGCGGCGTTGTTCTTGGCGACGCCGGTGGATTTCCTCCCACTCGGCGGCACGACTGCATAGCGCGGAAACGGAGTGCAGTTCGTCCAATCGAACGTATAGCTGGAGTTCCGGGTCGGCGTTTTCGTATAATTGCTCGAGCCGTTCCTGGCTAGTGTAGCCGCCAGCCCGACGCATCATTGTCTGTACGGCGGTAGCGTATCGCGTAAACGCCTCTCCTGGCTTCTGTCGCCGGCCTTGTATTTCCCGTCGTAATTGTCGTTTGTACCCGGGTGATAGATACTGGGCCAAGAAATCCTTTCGGAACCCGGCCCATGTGGACCACTGTTCTCTGGTGTTTCGCCACCACAGAAGGGCGTCGCCCTTTAACAGCTCGGACAGACCGGTGAGAAGATTGTGGTCTTCCAGACCATAGGCCACACTGAGTTCCTCCAGATGCTCGAGGAAAGCGAGGGGGTCCTTACCATCAAAATGGCATCCCCATTTGCGTATCTGGTTGAGGGCCTTAGCCGGGTCGGCTTCTGGTGGTTCGGGGGTTCCGCGTGCACTCCGGTAACGTTCTTCGCGGCTAAGCGGTGCGTGGAGCGTTTCGGCCGCTCCGGTGTTTGGCTGATTGGCCATTACGTGGTCTCTTATGCGGCGGCGGAGGTCGATTAATCTCCCTTCTGGGTCTAGATCGCGGGTGGCGAGGTATCGGACGGCTTCCTCTTTATCTAGGCGGTAGATCCACCCAAGCATGTGGATTGCAAACCGGAGTCTCAGACGGTCGAGTCAGGTCCCTGTTCGGGCGCCATGTAACGAAGCACCTTTCCCGACGCCACGGATCGGCTCGTCGGTGCCAGGATTCGGGAAGAGGGGAGACTCAGATTTACAATGACACACGGTTGCTCTGGTAAAAGTAGAGTTTATTCGGGGCCACCTTCCTGTGGTTCTCCCGTGATTCAAACCATTATACACAGCACAGTATAATCGGACGAAACGCGACCAGATGATACAGACGCGTACACGACTTATTGCTAGGATTGACAGATAGAAATATTACGGACGAGACGCGACCAGATTATACGGACGCGGACACGACTTATTGCTAGGATTGACGGATAGAAATATTACGGACGAGACGCGACCAGATTATACGGACGCGGACACGACTTATTGCTAGGATTGACGGATAGAAATATTACGGACGAGACGCGACCAGATTATACGGACGCGGACACGACTTATTGCTAGAGTTTCCAACGCGGACACGCGTACGGGCGCCCTGAGAAGGGCGAGCTCCGTCGGGCGCCGGTGACTTTCAGGTAGGACCCGGTGACCGAGGACGCTCGGCCTGCACGACGAGAACGCTCGTCGGCCGGGGTGATTTACGGACAGGACCCGGTGACCGAGGACGCTCGGCCTGCACGACGAGAACGCTCGTCGGCCGGGGTGATTTACGGACAGGACCCGGTGACCGAGAACGCTCGGCCTGCACGACGAGAACGCTCGTCGGCCGGGGTGATTTACGGACAGGACCCGGTGACCGAGAACGCTCGGCCTGCACGACGAGAACGCTCGTCGGCCGGGGTGATTTACGGACAGGACCCGGTGACCGAGGACGCTCGGCCTGCACGACGAGAACGCTCGTCGGCCGGGGTGAGTTACGGACAGGACCCGGTGACCGAGAACGCTCGGCCTGCACGACGAGAACGCTCGTCGGCCGGGGTGAGTTACGGACAGGACCCGGTGACCGAGAACGCTCGGCCTGCACGACGAGAACGCTCGTCGGCCGGGGTGATTTACGGACAGGACCCGGTGACCGAGGACGCTCGGCCTGCACGACGAGAACGCTCGTCGGCCGGGGTGAGTTACGGACAGGACCCGGTGACCGAGAACGCTCGGCCTGCACGACGAGAACGCTCGTCGGCCGGGGTGAGTTACGGACAGGACCCGGTGACCGAGAACGCTCGGCCTGCACAACGAGAACGCTCGTCGGCCGGGGTGATTTACGGACAGGACCCGGTGACCGAGGACGCTCGGCCTGCACGACGAGAACGCTCGTCGGCCGGGGTGAGTTACGGACAGGACCCGGTGACCGAGAACGCTCGGCCTGCACGACGAGAACGCTCGTCGGCCGGGGTGAGTTGGAGTGTGGGAGTTGAGGAGTGATCCCTGAGTACGCTCGAGGGACCAGGACGGGACTGGTGTCGAAGTCTCGGCTGCGCCGCTCTTTATACCCGTCGGCCACCCCACTCTAAGACTAGCTTGGAGGGGGTCGAGTGACGGGTGGGGGCGAAAAGGCGGATTCCCAACGTATTCGTGTGGTGGCCCCGAAAGGGGCCGTTTACACGAGCGCGGGCGACTAGTGACGGCTAATCGGGTCGTCACAAATTTAAAGTTAAATACTAATTCAATTTGTTTATTTCAGCAAATTCTGAAGAGAACGTGTTATATTGCAACAACAACCTCCTACATATGAGTCTTATTTCACTTGGAATACAGAATTTCATTTATCCAAACAGAACAATGATCAAGCTAAGTTTTCCATCACACTCCACATATAATTTTAACCAGAATTAGTTATATATAACATATCTGATATCAATAATACTGAATTAATGAAATAACGAAACTAATTGTTCAGTGATATTAACAATAGAATAATATAATAATTATTCCCTGTAACACATCACAGTTCAAATACAGAAGTAGAAGAAAAAGTCACAGCCATTTTACTACTAATTCACAGTTTATTAATTATCATTAATTAACAAACTAGAAGTCTATTCAATTTTAAAGACAGATACTAATCCGATTTATATATTTCAGTAAATCCTGAAGAGAGCATGTTGTATTGCAATTACAACTTTCAATGTTTAGATTAAAGGAAAGTCACAGTTATTTTGGTCGAAACATTATTCAATCAGTGCAGTCTTATATCCGAAATCAGACCATTAAATACAATAATAATGATTATTTATTATAACACATCACAATGCAGATGCAAAATAGAAGAAAGTCACGACTGTATTATTATTATTTCACAACTTATTGTTTATCATTGACTAATTAATTAAAATCTATTCAATTTAAAGTCAGATACTAATTTAACTGGTCTATTTCAGTAAGTTCGATATACCTAGTATTGTTAATATTAAATCATGTCCACAAGAAGTTCATCATACAGCAAATAACTATTTAACACCATATTCCAAATTAGAATAATAATATTGTTTTATTCAACAGGGTCCCATTCAGAGTCTAAAGATGACATCAGAGCAATCATCATCAATTTTAATACATCCGACTTAACGAAATACATATACCGTATAAATATACACATATGTAAATCTTGGAGTACGTAAACTATTATGTATTTTAGCATAATATTCTAACTACAAGAGATTAATGTAGTGAAAAGAACTGAATTAACACTAAAATTCCTTCTCTTATTTCAGATGAAAAGCGACAATATCCTCCTCCAGAAGAGCAACAAATATGACAGAAGCACTAATAGGACTTATCATTAGAAAGTTTCTTATACGATTATCAATCCAGACTAATTGAAGTAATTAATGCATATCAATGTCTATTATCACATTAATAATAAAGTCACTAATTATCAGACCAATAACTAATTGTTAAACCAATAACTATTTAATTAACCTAGTATTCTTATAAGGTATTCATATTCCTTAATTTGTCCATAAATCTTATATCTTATTAATTAATAATTAATATGGTCACTCATAACTGTGTCACTGATATTATTCAGTTGTTATATAAATCAAATTTCCGCGGTTTATTATAATGACCAATGACAGATTGACAGCAAGTATAAGCCAAGCTGCTAACCCACTTGAGCATGCGCGCACTGCGCAAAGCATGTGCGCCACGATGATCGACTGCCACTTGTTAATTACTTCAATACGCTTAATTAAGTCAAAATGTCAAAAATTTAATATAGTTCACCTAAAAGTATTTATATAATTATAAATCTATTGAACAGAAGGCATAGGAAGGCACTTATTATAACTTATCAAATATTTAAAAGTCAGAATTTAAATGAAATTTACTATAAGTTACAGCAAAAATAGTTCTTTATAATAATAAAAAATATAATCTTCTCAAAAATTATGTTTATAGCCAAAATAATTCTTTGCAAAAATTAATCATTATCAAAAATATTTTCTCAAAAATTATATTTATAAATTATATTTTATTTTTGTTAATAATACTAGAAAAAAATTAAAATATTAGCATCAAAAAGTAGTAAAATCAAAAAATTGCGCTAAATAATTATATTGATAATACGAGAAAAAAGGTTAAAATATTAGCATCAAAAAGTAGTCAAATCAAAAAGTTGCACTAAGTAAGTGACAACATAATATATAATATTTAGATAAATTTCTTATAATGATACAAATGTAAAATTATTGCTTTATTTTAAAACGTTTATAATATATACAATAACAAAATAAATTCAGTAAAATATATATATATATATATATATTTATTCATCTTTATATTTAAATAACATGAATAATTATCTCAGAAATAAATATTTTTATCGGCTCTCAATATAAATAATATAAGTATGCTGTCTTCTAAGCTGGTAAGAGCAGTCGCCCGGAAAGTGAAAGACGCGGGTTCGATTCCCGCTTCAGCGACTTTTCGGACCTATATTTTTCTCGCTTATTTCTTCATATGTAAGTTTCGAAATTAATTTATATGTGGAACTTTGGGATCTCAAATTGAGATACAGTTCCGTTTAATTAATTTTTCGTTTCGTTTCCTTGGCTCTATTGCCCAGCTTAGAAGACAGCATACTTATATTATTTATATTGAGAGCCGATAAAAATATTTATTTCTGAGTTTATTCACGCCTTGGGCTAATCACGGCGGTATTTACTAACATCTACTAAAAAGGCAAATGAAAAATATAGGATCGAAAGGGTCTGAATAGCTTAGTTGGTAAAAGCAGTCGCCCGGAAAGTGAAAGACGAGGGTTCGATTCCCGCTTCAGCGACTTTTCGGACCTATATTTTTCTCGCTTATTTCTTCATATGTAAGTTTCAAAATTAATTTATATGTGGAACTTTGGGATCTCAAATTGAGATACAGTTCCGTTTAATTAATTTTTCGTTTCGTTTCCTTGGCTCTATTGCCCAGCTTAGAAGACAGCATACTTATATGAATAATTATGTAATTAATTTAAACTGGAATGTATATACATTGTAAAGTTATTATATATTTTTATAAAATATTTAGATAAATAGATATATATAAAAAATAAATTATTTATCTCTAAATAATTATTTAATTCAAATATATTTAAACGTATATTCAAAAAAGGTAATATAAGGCACAAAGAATTAAATTTAGGAAATTAAAAAATTTAAAGTTAAATAAAAATTTTTAATTTAAATTAAAAAATAAAAGTAAAAATAAAAGTAAAAAAAATGTAATGTACAAAAAATACTTAGCGCTGTTTTTGTATTATAGCCCTTTGACTACGAAACGTCCTTAAAAATGATGATTAGTAACGAAATGTGTATATACAGAATATATCACACACAGAAGTCGCATCCTATCTTTGGAGAGTGAAATGATGAAGTCAAAATAAGTCAAAATTAAAGAATCATGAAATTATATGTGAACTTTTTTTATAAAAAAATTCATAATAAAAATAATGCGCTTTAAACATCTATCTCGAAACTTTGATTGCGATCAGGAAAACATTGCAAATGCTTTAAAACATGTATCAGGATAAAGAAATTTTTATTCATTTATATTTTGATTGATCAATTAAACACTTTGAAATGCTCCATATACATTAATTAATATATGTATACATCAGGGTTGGGAAAAAGTAACTAGTTACAGTTACAGTTATTTCATTGAAAAAATAACTAGTTACAGTTACAAGTTACCGATTTTAAAAAAGTTACAGTTACAGTTACTCTAAAAGTAACGAGTTACTTAAAAATAATTATACATTGTTTTAAATATAAGGAGCTTACATTTTATGCACACAATTACAGTCAAGTATTTAAAAAAATTCTTAATAATATTTGACATTAATTATTTCTTTATTATTAGTTATATACTAAATGGTAATAAAGTATCGATCAATATTACAAGGACTGTGATTGGTCGATCGTGTTAGTACACAAAATGAAAATTTTAGGTAAAAGATTAAATCATTTCCATATGCGTTATCAAATTAATTTAATAATATATACCATACTTAAACAATAAGCAAAAAAAAAATAATCTATTAAAATAGTTACTAGTTAAAAAATGTAACTAAGTTACAGTTACAGTTAAGATCGAAACAATAAGCGATAAATTACCCTTACGAGACATATTTATGCGTTGCTACCTTAATCGTAGTAAACAAAGTGAATTTGAATTGTTACCTTTTAAAAGTGACGACATACGTACGACTATGTCTAGTGTGAATTTCAACAATTGGCTCACCTGTAACCTTTACAAAACGAAAAATTTATGAAAGTGGATTTAGTAACCATGAGAACCCAGGTTCAAAACATAAAATTTTTCAAAATTTTATGACATAATATTAATCGCAAATATTCTGATCATATTTTAATCAGAATGAAAATGTAAATGAAATATAACGTGTTCATTATATAAAACAAAACAAATTACATTAGGATTTGTACCATATGAAATAGAAGATTTATGCAGTATGTCCACATTATATATAGTTATTAAAATTTTAGAGAAAAGAAGGAATCAAAAAGCAGAATTTTCTTCAGATCAATCCTATTTTTGAATATTAATTTGATAAGGATACTTTGTGTTGTATTTCTTTATTATTTTCAGTTAAGTTAACACATCATTTACTTTTACACCCATTTAATTTAAATTGATGCATACAAAGGATACACATGCAAAGTAAATGCAAAGGAAATTAAACATGAGTCAATTATGAACAATAAAATAGGTATGTTTATAATATTGACATTATTTTTCTTTATTATTAGTATATACAATATATATATATATATCAGGAGACGCGGTAGCACTTTCATTCAAATTAAAATACAATCTAGATATCGAAAAGATAGCGAAAATATCGAAACAATTTACCCGTAGGAGTTGTTTAACCACGATTTTCGTAACCTTCAAAACAAAAATTTGAAATATTTCATGAACGGAAACATATTTTTCTGACCATATCAATCGAAAGCGCGATTTTTTCCGAGTAAAATGAGACCTTAACGAACTTGATAGCTCTATTGGTTGCGGAGATATGAATTTTTCAAGTGTGTCAGATACGGCGTCGTACTTGTCCCGATCACCCATCCCGACAAAGTGATTCTGTCCGAAGCTGCTTTACTTTATCCGCGGTCACCCATCCTAGTATAGTGACATTTTCCTCAGTTGCTTAACCTTTTTAGCAACCAAACGAAAAATAAATTCTCGCTCTCTCTCATTCTCTCCCGCTTTCTATCGCCTCTCTCTCGCTCTCTCTCGCTCTCTCTCGCGTTCTCTCTCTCGCTTCTCTCGCTTTCTCTCTCGTCTCTCTCGTCTTCTCGCTCTCTCTCGTGCTCTCCCGATTACTCTCTCGCGTTCTCTCGCTCTCTCTTGCTCTCTCCCGCTCTCTCTCGCTCTCTCTTGCTCTCTCCCGCTCTCTCACGCCCTCTATCGCTCTCTTTCGCGCTCTCTCGGCCTCTATCGCTCTCTCTCTCGTTCTCTCTTGCTCTTTTCCGCTCTCTCTCTCGGTTTTTTTTCGCCCTCTCTCGCTTTCTCTCGCTGTTTCTCGCCTTCTCTCGTCCTCTTCCGCTCTCTCTCGTCTTCTCTCGCTCTCTCTCTCAGTTTTTTTCGCTTTCTCGCTTCTTCTTGCTGTTTCTCGCTTTCTCTCGTTCTCTCCCGCTCTCTATCGCTCTCTCTCGCTCTCTCTCGCCCTCTCTCGCCCTCTCTCGCTCTCTCTTGCTCTTTCCCGCTCTCTCTCGCACTCTCTCGCGTTCTCTCGCTCTCTCGCTGTTTCTCGCCTTCTCTCGTTCTCTCCCGCTCTCTCTCGTTCTCTCTTGCTTTCTCTCGCTCTCTTTCGGTCTTTCTCGCTTTCTCCCGCTCTCTATCGCTTTCTCTCTCTCGCTCTCTCTCGCCTTCTCTCGCTTTCTCTCGCGTTCTCTCGCTCTCTCTCGTCTTCTCTCACTCTCTCTTGCTCTCTCCCGCTCTCTCACGCTCTCTATCGCTCTCTCTCGTGCTCTCCCGGTTTCTCTCTCGCGTTCTCTCGCTCTCTCTCGTCTTCTCTTTACTAAAACGTTATAATTGTTAAGCCGAAAATGCAACAAGAGAGTGAAGCCACTAAAAAATTGATAAAAGAAAAGGTGGATATTAAGAGTATGGCTATGGGAATAACGAAATTAAGGAAAGGTAGCAAGGGAACAGTGATCGTGGGTTGTGAAACCGGCGAGGAGGTGAAAAAATTGAAGGAGACAGTTCAAGCTAAGCTGGGAGAAAATTATAAAGTGATAGAGTCGCCTCAATCAAAACCAAAGATAAAAATTATTAATATAGGTGTAGAAGAGATGAAATTAGATGATAATGAACTTATAAATACGATAAAGATGCAGAATAAAATAGATACAGCAAATATGCGAA